TTTTTTTTTTTTTTTTTTTTTTGTACCGGGGATTGAACTCGGGTCCTTGCTCTTGCAAGGCAGGCCACCGAACTGCTAAGCTAAATCCCCGGCCCAAACATTTACTTTTGAAAGTGACACTTTATCATAGAAAACATTCTATATAATTTATAATCAATTTAGTCAGTACCCTATTGATGACATTTAGATTATTTCCACTTTTTTGCTGTTATAAACAATGGTAAAGAAATATACTTGTGAAAAGGCCCTTCACAAAGAGGACTGAAGGGATTGGTCACTGTGTTGCCAGGGTTTTCATTGGTGGGTACCAGGGTTGGGGGGAACAGCTGCCCAAAAGAAGCACCATGATTTCAGCTGCTCAACTGTTGGATGAATTAATGGGCCAGGCCAGGACCAAAACCTCACCCTGGATGAGAAACACAGCAATATGCAGTGGGACCATGAGAGTGTTTATAAATATTAGCTCTGTTGTTTTTGTCCTGTGGAATTGTTCATATATACTTGTTCTGAACTTGGTCCATGTGAAAAAATTCCTGGTGAAGATTTACAAAAAGAGTATGAAAAAGAGTTCCCATTTCATGGCAGTTGGCTATGAGAGAGATTTTTTTGTAATACTTACAGAGCTTACATGCAGAAGCAGAATGTAGAATCAGAGGAGGCCATGCTTGTTTGGCATTATGTCAAAACCAATAGTCCCTCTGGTGCAGCTTGCCCAGCCAGTAAAAATGAGGAAAAAAATTCAGGTTCTAACAGACCAAATTTATGTGCTCCTACAGCAAATTGAAGAATTAGGATCTGAAGGAAAGGTAGAAGGAGCTCAGGGAATGATGAAATTAGTTGAACAGCTGAAAGAGAGAGAATTGCTTAGATCCACAACTTTGACCATTGAAAGTTTTGCTGCCCAAGAAAAACAAATGCAAGTTTTTAAAGTATATAGAAACTTTGTGATAGTGGGAGATGCACAGTCCCAGGTAGATGATCATTTGATAGGAAAACAACATAGGCCAAAATTAAAGCTACTACTATAGAAGAATTAAAAGAAAACAAAAAAGAACTGAAAAACCAGATTGGGATGAGTGTCTAAAAAAAGAGAAGAAAGAGAAAGAAAAAGATGAACAGAAGAGGAAGAGAGAGAGAAAGAGTTCATGACAGAGAAAGAAGAAAAGTTTTTCATGAAATAGATACTCATGCCAAACTTCTGACAAGATGCAGCACAAAAGATTGGGACCACAAAAGATCATGAAGTAGGGAAAGAAGGTGAAGCAGAAATAAAAATGTACGGAGATGCAGAAGCCATGACAAATCAGAAAGAAAACATAGATCTCGCAGTTGGGATCAAAAATTATACAGGCACAGGAACAAAAGTCAGGACAGAGAACAAGACAGAAAATCCAAGGAGAAGGAAAAGAGAGGATCTGATGATTTAAAAAGTAATGTAAAGTCCAGTAGTTGAGAGAAACGGAGTGAAGACACAAATCCTGAATCAAAGGAAAGTGACACCAAGAATGAGGTCAATAGGACCAGTGAAGACATTAAAACTGAAGGTGACAGTCCAGTTAAAACTGATCTGATAAGACCTCAGATCAGAAAGAGGATTACTGTTTGAGGATTTCTTGAAGATACTGAAAAAAAGCATAATGTGAAGATCAACATGTATAAAACTCAGTTGTTTTTTGTTTTTATTTAATTAATTAATTAATTAATTAATTTAGTACCAGGGATCGAATTCCAGACCTTGTACTTGTGAAGCAGGCAGTGGAACCACTGAGCTAAATCCATGGCCCTTGTTTTTATTTTTTTAATTAACATTTAATTCAAGGCTGATGTGACCTACCATATTTCCGAACATGTGTTAATAGCATACTTGCTACTGAAATCTTAGGTCTTGTATCATATTTTTTCAAGACTTTTAAAGAAATTTTACCTAAACGTGGCTTTCTCAGAGTTTAATTGCAAGTTTCATTCTTGAACTTTGCAAACAAGATTAAACGTTAGTATTGTGAATCAGACTAAGTGATATTACATTTTTACAACTCTGTTATACTTAGGCTTTGGATGTAGAAATAAAAATAGAGTATGTCTGATTTTCTGTTACAGAGTTGATTGTGTCATTAAAAGTTTTAGTATTGGGCTGGGGATTTAGTTCAGAGGTTCTGGTGCCTGCCTCGCAAACGTAAGGACTTGAATTCATCCCTGGTAACCCCCCCCAAAAAAAAGTTTTTTTTTAGTATTAATCTTTTTCTAATAATGTTATTGACAAAAATATACTTGTCCATATTGTATAAGATACAGGATTCATAAAAGAGTTATTTAATAAAAAATTGGATTTTTTTTTATATTGATGTTGCCAAATTGTTTCTTAAAATCACTATCAATTTTAGTTCCCACCAGCTTTAACTCATATTTTTACCAGTGTTGGATATTCTGGGGTTCAGAATTTTTTCTGGCTATTTTTATATGTTAAGTCTACCATGTGAACTTTAAAATGAACTTTTAGGAATAATTTTTGGAACATTTTTATTAACATTTACTTTATGTTAAGCATTCTTAGTCTGAAAATCTGTGTATATATAGGTGTGTGCACACACACACGTTTGAAATCGGGAACTCAACCTAGGATCTTTTGACTGAGTTGCTACCTCAACACCCCACCCCTTTTCTTCTTTGAGACGTGATCTCACTAAGCTGCTAAATTGACCAGGATGAGCTTGAATTTGTGACTCACCTGCCTCAATTTCCCAGAGTGCTGAGATTACAGGCATGCATCACAATGCCTTGTTGAAATTTGAAATATCTGAAACTTTTTGAATACTGGCATAATGCTGCAAGTGTAAAACTCCATCCTATGAAACTTTGTCTCAAGCACAAAATTGTTAAACATAATGTATACAGTTGCTTCTAAGCTGGGTATGGTAATCCTGTACTTGGGAGGCTGAGGCAGGAAGACCTTGAGTTCTAGCCAGCCTGAGCTACACAGTGAGTTCAAGGCCAGCCTGGACTGCATAGCAAGACCCTGTCTCAAAAGACCAAATAAATAAATAACTTATTTTCAGGCTATGTGTAAAATGTGTTTATGAAACAGATGAATTTCATATTTAGGTTTGGATCCAGTTCCCCAAATATCTCATTTGTATACAGGTCTTCCAAAATATGAAACATTACTGGTTGTATGCTTTTAGTATGAGGGATGCTCAAGAGGTAAACCAATTTGTGGTAGATTGCCAGGCATGGTAGCACACGCCTGAAATCCCAGCTACTTGGAAAGTTGAGGCAGGAGGATTGCACATTTGAGACCAGCCTGCACAACTTTGGGAGACTATCACAAAATTTTTAAAAAGACTGAGGATGTATGTAGCTCAGTGGTAAAGTGTCTCCGGGCTCAATCCCTAGTACTGTGGGGGGAAAAATTATGGTAAATTGATTTTACTTTTGTAAGAATAGATATGTTTTTCCCCTTCAGGGAAGTTTTTTGCTTTTTCAGTAGAGATATTAAACATCATAGATTAAATCATGCATCTTTTCCATTTGTTACGCCTTGTACAGTACTTATTTTGGCAGTAAATTGAAATGCCACTTTCATCTCATACTGATTTGGTTTTTCTGTGGCTTTCTATGGCTCTGTTTGGTCCTGCACAAACTGTTTTCTTTTCTTCTGCAGTACCGGAGATTGAACCCAGGGAGTGCTGAGCTTCATACCTGGCACTTTTTATTTTTATTTTATTTTTAATTTTGAGACAAACTCTTGTTAAGTGGCTTGGGCTGGCCTTGAACTTGAACCTCCAGGTTCAAGCCTCCCCAGTAGCAGGGATTGCAGGTGTTCACCATCACGCCTGGCTAAACTGTTTTCTTTATTGAATATTTTATTGAACATTTATTGAACATTTGATTACTTATTTAGCCCTAGTCAGTATGAATATATTAATTTCATTGTGGTAATCATTTTTAAGGTTATTGTGAGAATTAAAGTTAATATTGTTAAATGTGCTTTCCACAAATCTGGTGGGTTTTGAATACATGGAAACTGCTGTTCTTAACATCAGCAGCTTTAGTATGGGACAACCCAGAGGGTCAAGGTGGCTACTTTGAAAATCACTAAATTTCATTTGGAATATTTCAGAAGTCAAGAGAAATTAGGAAAGACTTGCTACTTGCAGTGTACCAGCCTGTGCTAGGTAGCAGGGTGATAGAATAAGCAATAGCCTCTGTTCTCAAGAAATGGGAATTAGTTTGTCACTGGATTGTTTGGGCACATAGAAGAATTTTAATTACTTTTTAATACTCATAGCTACTCTGCTTTTTTATCCCACTTGTACAAACAAGGCAACCAAAGCCATGAGGATAACTCACACAAGCCACAAAAATGCTGGAATGTAGAACTGAAGAGAGCAAACCTAGGTCCATCTGACTTCATAATTCTGCTCTTACTTCATATGTCCTAATCAATCAAAATTAAGTTTAATATTTTTTACCCAAAATTGACTTAACAAAATTTCTAATATTTGAAGTTGCTTTATAGAAAGTGCTAAGAGGCAGAGATATTTTAGGTCTTGATATGCTTCTTACTAGCTTGAGGCCTTATTTCTTGTTCATGTTGCTTACTTATCATTTTCCTGCTTCACACACATTTAAGTTAGCTCTGGAAGCTGGGCATGATGGTGCACACCTGTAATCCCGGAACCGTGGAGGTCGAGGCAAGAAAACTGCAAGTTCAAGCCTACCCTGGGCAACTGTGACATAGCAAGACTGTCTCAAAAAAGGCCCTGTGTTTAATCCCTAGTATCACCACCACCAAAAAAAAAAACAGTTTTGAAAGGGCTTTTGCCTTTTAAAGAATAATTTGCAAAATTCTGGGGTTTTTGTTTTTTTTTTTGCTTGTATGTCATCATCTGAATATTATACTCATATTTGTTAAAATAGGTGAAATTGAACCCAGAACTATATATACAACCAATCTAATGAAAATGTGTGGAAGTGATCTGAAGAAAATCCAGGAACGCAGAATTTACTGAAATAAAAGGGTAAGAGTGGAAAAGGACCATTTTTTTCCTGCTGAAATCACGATGGAGGCAGAACAGCAGCAGCCATGGATGACAGACTTTTACTTGGAATTGCCCAAAGTGGTGAGACATTAACTACCAAATTCTTTAAGAGTTGCTAATTATTATGGCCTTTCTTGTTTTTTGTTGTTTGTTTTTGCAGTACTGGAGAGTGAACCCAGGTCCTTGAGCCTGTTAGGCAAGTGCTTTACCATTGAGCTGCATCCCTAGCCTTATGTTGTTCTTTCACTAAAAAGTAAATTTTATGGGTAGAATTTATAAACATTAGCAGTTGTATAGCCCAAATCTAATACGCAGTTTGCCTAGTGCAAACTAAAATTTCAAGTACATGGTATGATGCTGTGAGTCTTTCAGATACTGGGTAAGTTTTATTGATTGTAGCCTCTTGTTTTAGGAACTTCATGCCCACTTGAATGGATCCATTAGTTCAAATACCATGAAGAAATTAATAGCCAAGAAGCCAAATCTTGACATCAACAATCAGATGACTATGATTGACAAAGGAAAGAAAAGAACTTTAGAAGAGTAAGTTTGAGGAGGTTGAGAAAATACTGTTTTCGGGGTATCTGTTAGTATTTTGAGATTGTAATATAAAAATTCACATTTTAGTAGGTAAAAGGAATAGAGTCAGTATCTGGCAGAGAGAATATAACTTAACATAGAGTACTTTTTCCAACTGTCAGAATGCTGATAGTGTTTTTAATGATTATAGTGGTGAAGTTATTGGCTTCTCGACTTGAAACAGCAGGTATATTGACTTTCCCCAGGCAGGGGAACCTGGAAGGGTGGGGTTAGAAAAACGGAAACTATTATTTTGCACAGAAAAATATAAATAACATTTAATTTTCAGTCATTTGATTGTCTTTCTATAACAACAGAAAAATGGCTTGAAAAATGTCTGATAGGTTTTTGTAAATTTAATATATATATATATATATAATATATATATATATGCCTCCTGTTAGCCTAAAATCTAGTAATTAATTCAGCTGAGGGATTTTCTCTTTAGTGACAAGTTTTTGATGACGAAAGTATATTAAAACATTTCTTTCATATTACAGATGTTTCCATATGTTTCAAATTATTCATCAGCTTACTACTGGGCCTGAAGATATTCTGATGGTGAGTCATGAAGGAAATTTTAGAATAGTTTAAAGATTATAAAATGATTTATGCCCTTCTGGGTTTTTTGTTTGGTTTGGTTTTGGTTTTTTGAGACAGATCTCTATGCAGTATTCCAGGTTGCCCTTGAATTCACTATATACCAAGGTTGGATTTGAATGGTCCTCCTGCCTTGGCTTCCTGAATTCTGGGATTATGCCCAGCTGCCTTTCTGTTGCATATGACCTTTTGCTTTCATCAAGAGACTGATGAAAAATGTTTTTTTCTTTGTTATAGCAAAACCAATGTGAGACAATTGCCAAAAAGGTAAAATATAAAAAACATATGTTCATTTTAAAAGATATGAGGAAGGAACCAAGAGCAACATCTTCTATTGGTAGAAGTTAGATATAGAAAAGTACAAAAGGTCTGTCTACACACTGGAGATCTGAAAGATCCAGTCAGGTGTGGAGCTCAGTGTAATGTCCCATGTGAGTCCGTATCAGGAGCCCGAAGGGTCTGTGATGGAAACCAGGAGAGACATCCAAGGTGAAAGCAAAGTCTTAAGCTCCTCCAAAGAAACGGAAGCGAGCCTTCTGCCTTTCCCTTTTGTAACATTTTGGTGACAGTCCCCCTAGGGTATGTCTTCCACACCCGGAACTGTGCTGATGCAATTTAGTTGGGCATTTCTTACTCAAGTTGACACAGTCACTTAACTATCACATATCCTAGTCAGCAGATAAATTTAACATAATTGGTAAGCTCTGTGTTGGAGACATGCACAATGACTTACAGGAATCCAAAAGGGTAGTCTCTGATTGGTCACTTGACAGATAATGTTAAACACCACAGGGGCTTCAGTCTCATTTTGCTAATGAGTGTTACAGGGAAAAATGATGAAATTTTAGAGAGCACCTAATACTCCATGGGTATAGTAATACCAGTCTTATCACTTCATTGGTTTCAAAACAAAGGTTGGTGAAATGCTCCTAAATGAGGTGAACAGTAAGGATTATGTACATGTGACTTAGTGCTATGGGGATGGTTTGGAGAATGACAGGTGCCCCATATGATGTATGAAATATCTGTGAGACTATGGTGTAAGAGATTATTTGCTTGTTAGTATTGTCTGAGTGTATATATCACTTGAAACTCTAGTCAAGGAGACCTGGTATAGTAGCAAAAAGACAGGATTGGAATATGGCTGGAATATTTGCTATTACATATGCTGAGGTCTCCACTTAGCACCACTCTGTGAAGTAGGTATTTTTATTGTTCCCTTTTGGCAAATGACAAAATAGATTTAAAGAGGTTAAGTGGGGGCTGGGTGTGGTGTTGCACACCTGTAATTCCAGCTACTCAGGAGGCTAAGGCAAGAGGATCATGAGTTCCAGGCCAGCCTAGGAAACTTAGCAAGACCCTGTCTCAAAACAAAAAATAAAAGAGGATTGGAGAAGTGTGAAGGCCTAAATTTAATCCCCAGTACCACACACACACACACACACACACACACACACACACACACACACTCACACGGGTGAGTGGGGATGTAGCTCAGTGGTAGAGCACATGGGAGGTTCTTGGTTCAATGCCCAGGATCCCTACCCATAGAATAAATGTGGTAGACAGATTTCCTTTGCTTCCAGAGCCCATGCACCTTCTTCTCTAGGCAATTACCTAACTGTGACATACTCTATCTGGAGAAAGAATTGGGATAGATATCATCAGTTGAGAGCAGTGGTGGCGGACCCATGGCACATGTGCTGCAGCAGGCACACAGTGCCCTCTCTGCTGGCATATGAGCCAAGTCGCCCCAGTAGCTCAGCATTCAGGTTTAATTGCAGTTGTTGGTGCTCTACGATAAGTAGGTTTGGGGTTGCAGTTTTGGCATTCAGTCTCTAAAAGGTTTTCTGTCACTGAATTTTAAGAAAGGAAGGCCCAGGGAGCAAAGAATTGCCCTCACTCTCCTGCATGGGACATAAAGCAGCTATATCTGGCAGACACTGATGTGGACCTGTGGGACAGGTTCTTGGATATGGGTTAGAAATGATTTCACAGGATTCACTGTGGTCCAGATAAAGCTTTCTCCCTGTGCTCTTGTTCCATACGTGCTAGAACATAACCTCTCAGAAAGACAGCAGATAAAATCATTTTAGTCACTGGAAAAGACTGCTACTTTGAACCCTCATTTCTACCTGTCCCCATTCTCAAACAGGTTTGTGCTGAGGTTGAATGAGTTGATCCCTCTGGGTCTCTCTAGTTCTGGGGCAATGACAAATCTAAGTTTCTCAGCCTGCAGAGATAAGGCCCACACTGTGGTAGTGGCAGCAAGAAGGAGTTTCCCTTAAGTTGCTAAGAATTCACCAAGGGAGTGCCACCCTGTTAGGCACTCTGTACAACCAGCCAGCCCTGATTCCTGTGTTAGGGCCCTGTGCATGTAGGCAGGCAGGTGTCATGGCATCCTCATCCTTGGCTTCCTTTCATCTACATTTACAATTTCTTGGTGCTTGCTGATGGAAAAGGAAAATCTGCCTTCAGTAATTTTTCAGATTGTTAAATTTTATACTATGATAAATATAGTTTTACTCTCATATATTGCTCATTTTCTTTGCCTAAGAGTCATGGTCCTGAATTCTTCAGGGGAAAATTTAACCCTGCCATGATTATATGAAATAAAGAAAAGAAACAGAAAAAGAAAGAGGGAGAGGGAGGGAAGGAGAGAGGGATGGAGGGAACTCTTACTAAGTAACTTGAACAAAAACCTTACACCATGACTTTCCATTACATATCAATAATGCCTCACTACATCAGCAACACTAGATCATTTTATATGTTTCTTTCTGTTTATACATCTCCTAGCATCAAGTAAACAAAAGCTGACTCTAACTAATTGGATGTGGTAGTGCACACCTGTAGTCCCAGAACCTGAGGCTGAGGCAGGAGGATTGCAAGTTCAGGCCAACCTAGCTAATTTACAGGCAAGACCCCCCCCCTTCTCAAAATAAAAAATAAGAGCTGGGAACAGCTCAGTGTGAAGAACCTGAGTTGAAACCCCAGTACTGAAAAAAAACTGGTTTTGCCTTATTTCTCTGCTTTATCAGTCTGCTATAGGAACACTAGGAAATAGAGAAATGATTAAAAGGGTGGGAGTACTAAATACCATTTTTTAAATATTTTAAAAAGAAATAAACCAGCCTTAAAAAATAAGATTAAAAATTGAAAGGGTCGGGAAGTGTGCCTGACACACAAATTTGGATTAAATGTGGAATCAGGCAGGTGATGAGAATTGTTTGGAAATGTTGCGGCTCTGTCACAGACTCCACCACAGAATGACCACGGGTGTGATAGCATGAGCACTCTACCATGTGGGACACTTGCACATTCCTTGAAAGTCAAATTCACTGAAGCTGCACCACTTGCCATTTTCATTGGGATCCTTACTCAGATATATCAATGTTATGTGCATTGCCTGTATCATCAGGTCACAAAAGATGTCATTAAAGAATTTGCTGATGATGGTGTCAAGTACCTGGAACTGAGGAGCACACCCAGAAGAGAAAATGCTACTGGTAATTAATTCTCAGTGAATTGCTGTCCCTTTCTCCAAGTGCTTGGATCTTTTGTGTGTTTGCCAGTGGGAAGTATTGTGTAGTTCTGTTTTTTTGTTTGGGTTTTTTTTGGTACCGGGGATTGAACTCAGGTCCTTGTGCTTGCAAGGCAGGCCGCAGAACCACTGAGCTAAATCCCCAGCCCAATGGTTCTGTTTTCATACAGAAAAGTCCTGTGTCCTGTATGTCCTGTGTAGTTGTCTCAAGCAGAAAGAACTACCTTGCTGCCTACATAAGGCACTTGGGTGATGTTGCCACTGATGGGTGCAGAATTGTATTTCATGGCAGTCATCGAAGTGTAGGTATTCTGTCAACCCTCAGTCCTTGGGAGCAGGTGGTTTATTAGGACAGGAACCAGCTGTACACGCTCTCTGGATGGACATGAGCAGATGTGCAAGTTGTGTGGAAGAATTTCCTAGGCCTATCCTTCTGTAAGAGCAGCATGAGGGGATACTATGTAGGATCACCAGATCCCTGTTGACCTGAACAGACCTAGGTCATCTTGAACCTTACTGTGTGTAACCTAGTAATCACTGACTGGGGAGGCTAAAATTTTGAAACTATTATAATAATCGTTGAAAAGAGATGCGAAGATTCTTACCTTGCATTTTTGAACTATAAAATCAGTTCCATGTTATCCTGGTGAGGGTTGCAAAATACAAGAAACCTGCCAATTAGTAGAGATACATTTATTTTCAAATGGAGATTCATGAAGGTATGCAACAATGGTTAAGTAAAGGCTAATGGGATATTCTGCAACCATTAAAAATACTTGCAGGGGCCTGAGGTTTGGCTCAATGGTTCCTTCTCCTGCCTCGCAAGCACAAGTGCCTTAGTTCGATCCCCAGTACCAGGAAAAGAAAAAAAACCAAAAAAACTTGCAAAGATACTTTCACAGTATGTAGAAATACTCAATACATCACTGTTAAATTACTGAATAGGGTTCATATACACCAAGTAGCCATCTCATCTATTAAAAAACACCTGTAATACCAGCATTCAGGAGGCTGAGGCAGGAGGATCACTATGAGCTCAAGACCAGCCTGGGCCACAGTAGCTCAAGGCCTGCCTGGACTACATAGTGAGGCCCTGTCTCAACAAAACAAAAATAAATCAATTAATTAAAAATGCACATATGTATATGTGCTTACAAAAAAAGTTGTGGTTATCTATGGGTGATGGGATTACAGGTTATTTTTGTTTTTCTTCATAATTTTCTGTGGTTTACTAGTCTTTTTCCATCCCAGAGCATCATTATATAGTCAGGGTAATAGAGTATTTTAGAGAAGGCTGTTCTGGAAAGCATGCTTGCAGAGCCTCTCAGAAGAGGACTTGAGCACTTGAACTTCGCAGAATGTCACTGATCCTCTGGATGAGAAATAGCCTAAGCAGGATTGAGGAGAAAGGAACCCACAGTAGGATTGTTTTTTCCTGGACGAGCAAACAAACATCCTGCTAATAGAGAAAATTTATCTTTTATTTTAAAGGTAGAACTTAGCAAAGGACTTATGGTTGGTCTTGTTTTGTTAGAATGAGCATATAAAATTCTTACATTACTTTGTGCAAATTTTATATCTGGTGAATTAAGGATAATTTTTAAGTGGGTTTGTATTCTGTGAGTGTTTAAAATTTCATTTTTCCTTTTTTCTATTGTATTAGAAGTACAATTTCATTTACTAAAATGTACCCATCAGGCTCATATTTTCACTCATCTTGAATCATGCCCTGTCACATAAAGTGAAAAAGTAAATATTCATGTAGGGCTTCACATATGCTAAAACTAAGGGTAAAGTAGTTGATGGTCTCATGACATATGTTTCCTATGTTTTCTTTCCAGGAATGACCAAAAAGATTTATGTGGAATCTATACTTGAGGGTATAAAACAGTCCAAACAAGAAAATTTAGACATTGATGTTAGGTAAGAAGATTATACCTTAGTAGTTAACCATTTTAAAAACTAGAATTTGAAGTTTTATTGTTTTTATCATAAGTATATGTAATGGGTTTTTAAAAATCAACCAATAATTGATTTTTACCTATAACAGAAAAAAAAATAAAGAATTCCATTGTTTAATATGAGAAGTCCAAATTTATTCATCTGGCAGTAAAGTCCTGGTTTTTTATTTATTTTTTGGGGTTTGGTTTCTCATTACTTGCTTTCTCTCTGCCTGTCTTGTCTATCTGTCTTTTTTTTTTTTTCCCCCTGGCCCGGGGGGTTGAACCCAGAGCCTCATACATGCTATGCAAATGTTCCACTACTGAGCTACTTCTCTATCCCTTTCCATTTTTGAGACAGGGTCTTGCCTAGACCAGTTGTCTAGACTTGCATCAGACTTGGTGATCCTCCTGCCTTAGCCTGGGACATTGTGTCTAGTCACCCATCTTTTTTTCTTTATAGCATTAATTTATAACAGAATAAATTTCCTGTATTATTTTTTAATACTGCTCACCCACTAGAATATAGGTTCAGAGAAGTCAGAGACCTTATCTTTCATTTACCACCATGTCTCCAATCCATAGAACATAGCTGGCTCAATAAGACCTTGAATAAAGCAAGTAAGCAACCTAGCTCTATAGTTTTCTGCTGTAAGGATATGTAAAAATTAAGCCTAACTAGACTAATACCCCAGTAAAAAGCAAGCTGGAAACAAGAACAGAATGCAGAAAAGAAGACATACAAATAATAAATGTATAGAAAATATTTAGTCTCATTAATCAGATAATTTTAAAAGGAGATATAGTGTTGTTTTAGTAGTTCAAAATTTTGTGAAAGTTTGTGAAATTATACAGTGCTGATTTATAACATGCCATAAATAATTAATAAAACCTTTCTAAAGAGGAATGTTTCAAGATTTTTCAAGTTTTTCCTTCCTACCCAATAATGCTCTTTTATAAATGGACTTTAAAAATATGGGTTGAGCCAGGTGTGGTGGCACATACCTGTTATCCAAGCACTCCAGCGGCTGAGGCAGGAGGATCACTGTGAGTTCAAGACCAGCCTGGGCTACATAATGAGTTCCAGGTCAGTCTCAACTACATAGTGAGAACCTGTCTCAAAAAAAAAAAAAAAAGAGGGCCAGGGTTTTAGTTCAGTGGTTCCGGCACCTGCCTTGCAATCACAAGGACCTGAGTTCGATCCCCGGTACCCCCCACATGGGTTGATTTATACATAAGACTCTATTGCATTATTATTTATAATAAAAAGTAAAAATCCTAAAATATCCATCAAAGGACAATTGCATTAATGTTCATATGATTTATCCCATTTTGTAACACTACCTAACACATGGGAAATGGAATGAAAAAACAGACTGGGATTCTTCTGTATAGTTGATCCAGATTTTGTAAATAAATTAATAAATTCTGGAGAATTTATTTTGTGAATAACCAAACTAATAATGCTAGAGAAAAATCACAAAATTACAGGGTTTTTACAGGGGTGGGTATTTGAGTTCTGTAGAATTCTAGTTAATATATGAAGAATGAATTTGTATGAGATATTTTAGAATTAGAATATTACTAACTTTACAACCCCTGATGGAATAATGAACCTGAGAATATTCCATCACCTGTTTATTGTCAAAAAATTGAATCTGATCTGATTAAGCCTCCAGATTGGGTCTAAGGATGAATTTATAGGAATAATAAGAGGCAGGAGAATATGTTAATAGAGGGATACAATCAACAAAATCCAAACTGGGAAATTTTAGAAGGCAAACAAACTGATTTTTTTTTTCTAAAATAAATTCTAAGAAAAGAAGATGGGACAGGAAAGAATGAGTGACTATAGATTAAAAGAGACCTAAGGGGAACACTGACAAATACAAGATGTTAGGATCCTGAGTTAAACTATAAAAAGGCAAATGCACAAAATAAATGTAATAATGTGAGAGGACTGGATATTTAAACAGTGGCAGAATACTTGACACTGGTATTTAGAGGTTCCTGTCTCCTTTTGTCTGGCAAATGTGCTACCTAGACTCAGGCTGCACTTTACTTAGTAACCTATTTTACATGCAGCCTGTGATGCCTCTTCAGCCAAGCTCAGAATTGTCCTTTCCAACTGTGTTCTTATGTTAAAGGTACTTGATCACAATTGACAGAAGAGGGGGCTCTGAGGCAGCCAAGGAGGCTGTTAAACTTGCAAAAGAGTTCTTCCTTTCTGCCGAGGGTACAGTTCTTGGCCTTGACCTCAGTGGAGACCCTACTGTAAGTTATTTTTCCTAAATATATTCTATTTTTTAAAGGCAGATCAGTGAGGTAAGGATTAACTTAGAACATCCTGATTGTCTAGAAGGTCTAGCAGATGCTGTTCTGCCTTGAATGAACTGGATGTCTAGAACAGCTCTTCTTAACCAGGGTTCTATGAAAGAATAAAGCACCCTAAGAAAATATTTTCCTGAGTATAGATGGCCATTTTCTCCATTCTGTTCTTTGGGTTTTTGTTTTGTTTCGTTTTTTGAGACAGGGTCTCAAGTTGAAACTGACCTGGAACTCACTCTGTAGCCTGGGCTTGTCTTAAACTCACAACGATCCTCCTGTCTCAGCCTCCCGAGTGCTGGGATTACAGGCATACACCACCATGCCTGGCCTTCCATTCTGTTAAAGATGGTACATACAAGTAGTTCCAACCTGTATGTACAGGAAAGAAGTTAATTCAGTATATACAGTGAAGGAATGTCTTAGAGCATTAGGATTTAATTATCATATAGAACCCCTAATTCAGAAAAGTTGGCTGGAGCTTCTTAAGTGAAAGTTCCAAACAGAAGTCTTTTATTTTTTAATTTTTTAAAAAAGTGTTTTATTACTAAGGGAAAAAATTACTTTGTAATGTACAAGTTTTTAATGAGCATTTGAAAAATAAAACTAAGCTATTTGAATACAGCTGAGCAGTAAGCACATCCAAACAGAAGTCTTGATATTCCTAGCCAGAAAATATTTTCTTTTGGGGGCAGCCCTATGCATTATAGGATATCTCGTAGCATCTGTGGTTTCTTCCACTAGGTGCCAGTAGCACCCACCCAGTACAACAACCAAAAATGTCCTCAGACCCCAACAAACATCCCCTGGACCACAGAATTGTTCCTGCTTGAAAACCACTGGATAAGAGAGGCCTGTGAGGCTGGCTCTGATGGCTCTGTCTAAACCTGAACTGTTCTGCTCCTGTTTTCATATATCTAACATTTTAGTGTTCATATAAAAGTCATGAATCAAGTGAGCTGTTCTTAGCACTAAAATCTACATGTCTTTACAGAAATAAAATTTGGTGAGTTCCATATCCAGCTTAGGTGATTGACCTGAGGCCCACCAATAATGGACTTAAAGGTTCATCAGGGCATGGACTCAGCCTTTAACCAGGATTTTCTAAAGTCACTAGCACCTTGTAAGTGCTCCATAGACAAAAATGTGCAAATAAATCAGTCTGTCTGTGTTTTTTTTCTGCTGTTATTTTGTCCTTTTGTTTATTGGAGCAGAATACCCAGTTCCTCAGAATTCTCATTTTAACTTTTATCTTCAAGATAGGAAAAGCAAGAGACTTCTTGGAACCACTTTTAGAAGCTAAAAGAGCCGGCCTAAAATTGGCTCTGCATCTTTCAGAGGTAAGCAGTGCTGTCTTGGGCTGGAGAGGGCAGACTATGACGAAAAACAGCAGGGTTGTTTTCTAGTAACTAGAAATAAACCTAGCTTGGAAAAACTTTTTTGAAGTGGGAGAATGGAATTATTTTTAAATGTAAATTTAAATGACAATACATGACTTGGCATTAGTGTCCCGTGTTACTGTTCTTAACTTTCTGTGGTTACTTGGAGTGGCTGTTGACTTGAATTCCAGCTGTGTCATTACAAACAGCTTCCTGACATCTTTCTTGCTAGAGAAGCTGCATGAATTTTCACCATCAGCCTGGTCATTCACAAGCTGACTCTTAAGAAAAGTACCAGTTCACCTCGCCTGTCCTTATAGTGGACCAGACCTAAATGTATCACATACACTGGCAATAAAGTAGTTCATCATCGTAATATAACTTAGAACAGGCTAGTGTTGGGGAAGCTTGTAAATGGAATGTAGGTTTCTTCATTGGTCCTCAGCTCCGTGGCACCATGAGGTTAGTGACAGCATACAGATAAGGGCTAGAAATACGTACTAAGCACATCCTTGTGAGGCAAACAAGGCCCTTTATTGCTCTTTTATAGATGAATATTTTCTCCCTCAGTATTTTTAGCTATTATATAAGAAATAAGGAAATAGGAAATAAGACTTACCAAACCGGCCAGGGATGTAGCTCAGTGGCATTGCACCTGCCTGGCAAGTGCAAGGTCCTAAGTTTGATTCCCAGTACTGGAAAAAAAAAGAAAAATACTTACTATACTTTTTTTTTTGTTTTTTTGAGACAGGGTCTCACTGGGTAGTTGAGACTGACCTAGAACTCACTATGTAGCCTAGGCTGGTCTCGAACTCAGCGATCCTCCTGCCTCAGCCTCTCAAGTGCTGGGATTACAGGCATGCACCACCACAACCGGCTATACTTTTTCATGAGGTTTTATAAGTATTAAATGGGGAAATGTATACAGGCTGAGTAGCATCATGACAGAAAGATCAAGGAAAAAAATTAGAGCTTCTTGCCAGTACTTGTGTCGTTCATAGATCTACAGTCCGTGTCTCCAGTCTAATCAAACAGACCTTTTACTCACAGGACACCCTTCAGTTGACCTAGGAGGTGCCCAGTGGAAGCCATTGGGCAGCACAGTGGAACATTGTGTTATTGTGACAAGTTATCTCTGGCCTGTGCACAGCACTGGGACCTGTTTACCTTAGTTTTGGTTGCTTTTCTTGTTTGAGACATCAGATATAAAATAAACACATTTTAAGGTGTTCTGAGAATTTGTTTTGGGCTATGTAGCAGAAAAAGCACCGCTAGACACTTTGATGACAACTGTGGTATGTAGCTGGCCTGGTCAAGATAAAATATGAGCATGCTGTGGGAAGTGTCTGGGCTTTGGAGTCAGGAGGAATTAGATTTTACCCCATCTCTCCTATTCACTATTCTGTAATCTTGAACAATTTTTAAAAAATACTTTATGTTTAAACGTTGTATGTACCTGAAGAAATCTCAGGTGGAGGTATCTTAGTCACTTACTTGTCACTGAGATGCAATAACTGACATACACAACTTTGTTTTGCCTCACAGTTATGCTCTGTGGTTGGCCAGCTGCAGGGCAGCAAACCACCTGGCAGAGGTCCTAACAGAAGAACAGCTGCTCACCTAGGGACTGGGAAGCAAAGAGAGAAGGGAGGTCTGGGAGGCAGATATACCCTTCTAGGTCATGCCCTCAGTGACCTGCCTTTAACTAGGATTTACCTCCTAACAGCAAGGAGTGTTCCCATAATTCACTCCCCTTCCAAAAGCCCCATCTACAAGAGTATGAGGCCTTTTAAGGGATCTTGATCTAAACCATATCTGTAAGGAAGTATAATAGAAGGGGGAAAAGTCCCCTCCTGCTAACTCTCCAGAGTTAATACTGTTAAGAGTCTGTTTTTTAAGACCTTTTTCTAATATATTTGAACACCCGTGTACAATGCAAAACACATACATGTAGCATTATGGGATTTTATTTTTTGAAAATTACTTTTTCTGTGTGGGTTCCCCCGCCCCGCCGGTACTGGAGATCAAACTCGGGTCCTTGCACTTGCGAGGCAGGCTGCAGAACCACTGACCTAAATCCTGGCCCTTCTGTGTTTTAATTTTGTCATCTTAACACTTGATAAGATTCTTGTGAGACCTTAAAGAATTGATGTGAGTCTGCAGCCACACCACCCTAAATGCACCCGATCTTGTCTGATCTTGGAAGCTAAGCTGTGTTGGGCCTGGTTAGTACTGGGATGGGAGAACTGATGTGAAAAGGAAACAAAGTAGGGTCTTGATAAGTTTTTACTGTTACTGAAATGAATTTAGAAGAATGTTGGAAATGAGTAAAAAAATGATAGGCAGAAGGGGCTGAATGTGTAGCTCAGTGGTAGAGTTTAGGCTTTGCATTCAGGAAGCCCTGAGTTCAATCCCAGCGCCAACAAACAAAAAAACCAAAGGCAAAGACAAAAGCTGGGAAAGGAGTATGAGTAATTTTTCTAAAAATGTCAAGCCAGGCACAGTGGTAATCCCAGCACTTGGCAGGCTAAGGCAAGTGGAATACTGTGAGTTCGAGGCCACTGACCTACCTAGCAAGATCCTGTCTCAAGACAGAACACACACAAAAATGTCTGATTAACTACTCAGAGGGATAGGGGCCCACTATAGAAAACAGTACTTCAAGAACTACTATAAGAGGTCATTGATACCCAGTTCTTACTTTTTTAAAGATTCCAAACCAAAAAGAAGAAACCCAGATGCTCCTGGATTTGCTTCCTGACAGAATCGGGCATGGAACATTTCTCACCTCCTCTGAGAGAGGATCCCTGGATCTGGTGGACTTTGTAAGGCAGCATCAGATACCACTTGGTAAGGCTGAGGGTTTCGGGTCTCCTAGATGGCCTCTGAGCCTTCCTCCCTAGCCCCATGTGGCAAGCCAGAAGTGAAGAAGAGCTGTTCTAAAATTATCACTAGCATTCAGAAAGTCAAAGACATGGTTTATGTGCTTTCTGAGCCTCATTTAAGTAATGGAAAGTTTCAGCTCCCATTAGAATATGACCTCCCTGAAGGGAGACTGCCTGTCTGGCTTTGTACTGCTACAATCCCCAATGATTAGGACTCAGTAGGTCTTTTGTGAAGGAATAAGGGAATCGAGAACTTTGAAATTAACTTTAATGACATTAACATGTGTTGTGGAGATATGTAATATTTATTTTAAATTTAGAATCATGGACAATTCCAAATATATTTTTACAAATTCATTGACTGTTACATACTTGACTGTTGGTGTGTTTATGGAGTGCCTACTATTACAGACACTGTTCTCATGCTGGAACTAGGGCAGTAAACAAGACAGATGGGGTTTCTTTCTCAGGAATTCATATTCCAGCAGGAAGACAGTAAACAAACACAAGAAAATACCAGTGTTAAGTTCTGTGAAGTAAATTGAATGGACTGATATAGGAGTGATCAGATAAGCACCTTCTTTCTGAAGAATGAAAGTTTTTCCATAGAGGGAAAGAAGTGATTGGCTGCGAATCATTTTATTGAATGGTCAATTTGCTAAATGTATAAATTCAGTAATTTACAAAAATATATATATATATATTTTTTTTTTTACTATTTGCAGAGGTTTTTAGCAATTCATAATAAGTGCAGATTTTCTTACTAAGATTTTTAAACATTCACAAAAGTAGAGAGAATACAGAGCTCTTTCATAGTGATCCTATGTGGTGTGGAGGCCCAGCTCTGGTCCCAGCACCGTGAGGGACATCTCTTGGACTGAGTGGCCTGTGTTGAGGCTGCCTTGCGCTGGTTAAGTTAGTGAAGCATTTTACTATAGAGCCAAGGACAGAGTTTCAGGTAAGAGTCTGTTAGAAGTAAAAGTCCTTCTTAAAGTAGACTTACTTAGAAGCAGCAGGCAGTGAACTGGGGTAGGTGGGGTGTGTGTGTGGGCAGAGATGTTCAGGGGTTTCTTAGATGCCATGGGAAAGTCCATGTCCATTCTTTGCTCTTTCCAGTGCTGTGACTCTCAAGCAGTGCTACCATTTTCTTACCTTTGTTTTGGTCTCTGCTGTAAGACTAGGAGGAGTTTTAGTAATGTCTGCAGAAACCCTTTGCAGCTGGGCGTGGTGTGCATACCTGTAATCCCAGCACTCTGGGAGGCTTAGGTAGGAGGATCACAAGTTCAGGCCCAGCCTGGGCAACTTAGTGACTTAGCAAAATCCTATTTCAAAATAAAAAAGACCCAGGAATGAAACTCAGTGTGAAGATCCTTGTTTCAGTCACGTATGGCAAAAAACAAAAAACCCTTCTGCTTCCTTTTCATGATAAGTTCCTTCCATGTTCATTATGACTAGCTTATAGTATCCCTCTTCGCTGTGGTGAAGGGCAGGGAAACACCTGCATGGGATGATCATATCAGTCCCTTACTTGGTGCAGTTGCTGCCATAGTTGTAGTGCATGCTTCCTAGACAGCTACATTAATAGAAGCACAGCTTTTCACAGCACGTATAAGGAACGGGTTTGTAAAATAATAAAAGTGCTGCAAATCAGCTTGGTTTGGAATGATTGTTCATAAGTTTGCTCAGTGAACATTGAATGAGTTTACTAAGATTTTTTTTCCACTTCCATCTAGAACTCTGTTTGACTTCAAACGTCAAAAGTCAGACGGTTCCATCTTACGACCAGCATCACTTCGGATTCTGGTACAGCATCTCTCATCCATCTGTGATCTGTGTAAGGTATTTTATGTAAAGTACTTTGCTCTTTTTTATTTGCTGCATTGAATTAGGTCACACCTTTACTGCTCAGCTGACAGCCTTGAGTACCTGAGGGGAATTCCCAGGTTGAGGATGTAGAGGGTACTGGGCCATTAGAGGCTACAAAAGGCCAGGGAAAGTCTGGCTTGGCTCTAGGGAAAGTGGTTTGGACATTATCTGGGGAACTTCGAAACAAAACAAAACTGATACTCTCCTTCCATCCCATGAAATTCTGCTTTATTTGATAGAGGATGAGTCCTGGGCTTGGATGTGGATTTTTGTTCTGTTTTGTTTTTTGGTACCAGGACCTTTTTTGAACTCAGAACCTTGCGCTTGCGAGGCAGGCACAATGCCACTGAGCTAAATCCCCGGCCCCTTTGAATATGTTTTAAAAGCTCCCTGGGTGACTTTAAAATGCAGCCAAAGTTGAAACACTGCTGTAGTATTTTTTAAGTATAAAAGAATCTCTATAGATAGGCATAGATACATACTTTATAGTTCCCATTTAGACTCTTGAAAAGCAGCATTGTATGGCAGATGCAAAAAATATATTATTAACAAAAAGTTATTTTTAAAAATTATTTCCTTTATTTTGAAATATTGTTTCTATTGGCAGACTGATGATAAGGGTGTTTTTTCAACCTGCCTTTCTCAAGAGTACCAGCTGGCAGCTGAAACATTTAAATTGGCCCAGTCTCAAGTGTGGGATCTGTCTTATGAGTCCATCAGCTACATCTTTGCTTCTGACAGCACCAGATTGGAACTGAGGAAGAAGTGGAATCACCTGAAGCCCAAAGTGTTACACTTCTAAGCTGTAGGAAGGTGAACTGCTTTGGGGTCTGTGTTGCCATTCCTGCCATATCCCACTCAGTAAATCGTCCACCTCTTTGAATAACGGTACACATGGCAGGTGCTCAGTAATTATGTTTTTTTTTTTTTTTATTGGCTTTTTGAGACAGGGTCTTACTATGTAGTTGAGACTGACCTGGAACTCACTATGTAGTCCAGGCTGGTCTTGAACTCACAGCAATCCTCCTGCCTCAGCCTCCCGAGTGCTGGGATTATAGGTGTGCGCCACCACGCCTGGCTCAGTAACTATGTTTTAAACTGACTAGCAAGCCCTACGGTCTTACGTGGCTTCACTTTCCTGCTGCTTACTGGAAGAAACTGGATCCCAATTCCATGAGGGGTTTTTTAATTTAGCAGTCTCTCCCTAATAGTAGCGATCATAAAAATGTCAGGGAAACCAGCAATTTCTTATCAGGAAAAGTTTTCAAATTTTTAGTATAAGGTAAGGAGAAGGAGGGAAAACAGATTGCTGCAAAGACCCTTAAACCTACCAGCTTTTGCCAACAGCTCTGTTTGTATATGGAGCAAAAGCACCAAAGTACATCTTGGTACCTAATAAATTCTACCCATTCAGAAGTGATCTTTGTCCCTTCAGCCAAAGTGGCTATAGTATGTGTGTGAGTTTATGAAAGCTTGTGCCAATGGTCCATGATGGAGTTATGTGAGACCCGAAAAACCCTCGTAAGATATTGCCATTGGTAGCAGGATCTTTTGGAATAATGAAAAAGTGAATACTGCGGTGGAAATTCCAACAGCTTTAGAGGAAAAAAAAGAAAAGCTAAAGCTAATAGAAGCTGATTTTAAAATCGAAGCTAGCAACACGTGCCTGGAATCTCAGCTTCTCAAGAGGCTGAATAAGGCAGGAGGATTACAGGTTTAAGGAAAGCCTGGCAGTCTCAAACTTTTAAATTTAGAAAGGGCTTGGACTGTAACTCAGCAGTGGAGCACTTGCCTAGCATATGTGAGGCCTGTGTGCAATTCTAGCACCACACAGAAAAGAGAAGCAGAATGACATGGAGGTGCATATGGTAATATAGTCAGTGAGAAATGGGTTACAAAGAAATTTAGACTTTTTTCTTGGTTTAATATATACAAAAGCTAGTAAGATGGGCAATTTTAATTTATTAGCTTTATTTAAAGTTTCACATTATGAAAGTCATGTTAGCCTTAAGTGAGGCTGGGAAGGTGAAGAAGGTATAAGGATTCTTGTTTTAGTTTTCAGAATTTAAAATATGTGGATTCACTGATAAAGAGAATTTATGACAAATTACAGCTGACATATAATTTGATGAAGTGATAGGTATGGTGGTACATGGCTACAATCCAGCACTTGGCCAAAGGATTGCTGAGTTTGAGGCCAGCCTGGGCTACATAGTAAGCTCAAGCCAGACTGAATTACACAGAAAGACCTTGTCTCAAAAAAAAAAAAAAAAAGTATTAAATGTTTTCCAAAAAAATTTTAAGAAATGATAGCTGAGCCGGGCATGGTGGTGCATGCCTGTAATCTCAGCACTCAGGAGGCTGAGGCAGGAGGATAACTGAGTTTGAGGACAGCCTGGGCGCATAGTGAGTCAAGGATAGCCTGAACTGCCTACTGAGACCCTATCTCAAAAAAGCCAAAAAAAAAAAGATTGCTCTGCCCACTACTCTTAAATACTGAACTGGAACTTTTAGAAGCCAATGCAATAAGGCAAAATAAAAAGGGAGATTAGAAAAAATGTGTCTCTGTTCACAGGTATGTGATGATTTAAATAAAAAGTTCTAAGGAATCAAAAAAATATTAGAACTAAAAAGTGAATTAGCAAGGTCACAAGATATGGGATCAGTACACACAATTCAATTGAAGAAAAGGCTGATACAAAGGCTAGGGCAGAAAAAGTACAAGGTAAAGGTATAATACCTTGTTGGACCAGAAAATAAGGAATTGCACAAAAGACGAAAAAACATGAGCTAATTTGAGGAGGCTCTGGTAGGCCAAAGTTAATAATCTGAGCATCAAAATAAGTAATAACAGTCGGTTTTTAACTCATTAAAATTAGAAACCATGAGTTAATACTAATAAAAGTAGGTGGGGAAAAAAAGGTAGTTTTTCATCATAGTAGGCTGTCATATATTATAAAAAAATAAGTCAGGGGCCGGGGTTTTAGCTCAGTGGCACCTTGCCTGCCTCATAAGCACAAGGTCCTGAGTTTGATCCCCAGTACCAAAAAAAAAAAATTTTTCTTTAAAGAAAAAAAAAGTTAGATCTAATAGCCAGGCATAGTGACACATGCCTGTAATCTTGTCACTTTGTGAGGCTGAGGCAGGAGGATCACAGTTGGAGCCTAGCCTGGACAACTAAGCAATGTACGGAGCCCCCATCTCAAAAAATAAAATAAGGGCTGGGGACATAGCTTAGTGTAATGCCCTAGGTTTAATCCCCAGCATCACAAAAAGAAAATCTAATGGATGCTAAACAAGTGAATGACAGTTTAATGAGGTACAGTGCATTATTGTCTCAAGGTGCTCCCCATATATTTATTAATTATAGAGAGGGAAATTGTAACCACTGATGAAACCAGGTAAACACACCATAGTCAAGGATCAAAGTCAACATCAATACTGGGACAAATCTGTACCTCTGAAAAGATGCAGAGAAAGATGCAACACCCCTCTTACTGTTATCAGTGCCAAAAATGCAGTCAGCCAGGTATGGTGGCCTTTGCCTGTATGTCACACCTACATACCAGCCTCATACTCTAAAAATGTAAAGAAGCTGATTGCAGTGGTGCACAGTTGTAATCCTGGCTGCTTAGGAGCCTGTGGCATAGAGGATTCCAAGTTTGAGATTAGCCTGAGGTGAGAAAGTAGCTCAGTAATAGAGTGCTTACCTAATGTGAATGGGAACCTGGGCTGTATCACCAGTACTGAAAAATGTGTTAGTCAAGAAAAGCATGCCAGGGATTTATCTCAGTGGTACTGCCACCTTCCTCGCAAGCCCAAGGTCCTGAGTTTGATCTCAGTATCAAAAGAAAAACACAACAAAAAAGTAAAACTGAGTAGATAGTATTAATTTTAAATTCCCCCACTTTGATCATTTTACTGAGATTGTTGAAAAGAATGTCCTTGTTCCTTAAGAAATAAGTAATAAAGTGTTTAGGAAAAAAGGGCATTGTGTTTCCAGCTTGCTTGAGTGACTAAAAAATACATGGGCTGGGGATTTAGCTCAGTGGCGCCATGCCTTCCTTGCAAGCACAAGGTCTTGAGTTCGATCCCTGGTATCAGAAAAAAAAAAAAAAAAAAAAGCCATAAAAAATATACATAGCCAGGCATGGTGGTGCATGCTTGTAATCCCAGTGCTGAGGAGGCTGAGGCAGGATCACTGAGTTGGAGGCCTAGGTTATATAGTGAGTTCAAGGCCTGCGTGAACTAGACCCTGTCTCAAACCAAAAAATAAAGGGTGGAAAATATACATACACACGTACATTTAGGTGTGTGTGTGTATGCACACACACACACACACACACACACACACACTAAAAATCAGTAGTGAATCTAGGTATACAGGAATTCCTTGTACTTTTGGAACATTTTCTGTACATCTGAAATTTCATCAAGATAAGCCGGGCATGGTGGTGTACGCCTGTAATCCCAGCAGTCGGGAGGCTGAGGCAGGAGGATCTCTGTGAGTTTGAGACCAGCCTGGGCTACATAGTTCCGGGTCAGTCTCAACCAAACACAAAGAAAACCCCGTTCAAAAAAAAAAAAAAAAAAAAAAAAAAAAAAAAAGTTATAAAAACTATACATAGATTGGAGTGAGCCTTCTGAAACCATATTTCCTGGATTCTTTCAGTGATCTGGCATTTTGAAAAATATTTCTACCTTCTGTTCATACTACTACATAATCCTGTGAGTACATCCCTTTTCATTGTCAAAGTCCCTTCTCATACTTGTACCACTGTAGTTGCTAATTCCATTCTGTTGTTTTTTAAAGTTAGGAGAGTTTTTATTGGAAATAAGGACAATCAAAGGTTTCTCCATGAGAATCCAAAAAGTAGAATTCCCCTTGTTTTTCCAGTTGCTAAGAGCATATAAAACTTGTGTCTTATCTATATAACAAATGAACCAAGAAGTCAAGAGTTGTGGGGCTGAATGAAATGCAGTTTAATTCTGTCTACACTAGTCACACATCAAGATCATTGAGTTCACTAGAACTTGTCCCTACTCTGTTAAATGTCACTTACCTGTTAAAAATTCTCAAATGTCAGCTTTGGGCAACCATAGATTTGTGATCTAATAAACAACAAGGTGCCTGGTGGCCTACAACATGAGTTACTGCAATATAGACCTCACTGTAGAACAAAGTGAATGACCTTTGGCTGCACGTGTTTAAGGAAGATGTCAGTAAAATATAAACTGAATGCTACTTAAGTAATTTGAGGGCCTCACTATGTGTGCAAGACTAAAATTACTTTCTTAACATATCTTTTGGGTTATACAGGTTGAACTGGACACACTCCCCACCCCAAATGTGGGTGGGCAGAAGCACATGAATGTACATATTTCAATTTCTACCTTACCCTATCTTACATTGACAGAGGAGCTATGCAGGCCAGACCCTTCTTGAGTGCTATGACACCTTGGCCTTCTGTCTCATTTCTTTTAACTTGACTGTCAGTTGTTCCAAAGTTTTGTTTCTAAAAGAGCCCCACAGTGGGTAAAGGAGAAATTTAAGTTTCTAAAATGTATTTTAATAAGTTATAAAAACACTTATTAAGCACTTTGGCTTCAGCAAATACCCTATGTCAAAAATTTTTAGATGTGTGTCATTGGATAGCCATTTGATAAGTCTATTCATTTCAGATTTGAATTAAGTGAGAGGGTTGATCCATCTTTACACTCTGACTTTATCTTCCCTTCCCTACATGGTCACTTGAAAAACAGCTATTACATGTTTACTGGACTCAGTCACTATACTCAGATTACAATAAATGAGAAATGGTAACAACAGGGAATACATGTAAATGTTAGGTTCTCTAGCATTAGCTAAAGAGCATTAGCAATAAAAGGATAGTTTAATATGGAGGAAACTGAAAATTAAGTAACAGCACAAGGAAACACCTAATAAAAAGAAATAGGACTATCCAGTTACTACTGATTTTTTTGCTTCCTTTGCTGCACATGTCCTCTCTACCCATGGAAGGCTTTATGGATATTAAAAGTTAGGGATGCCTGTGTGTTTTGTTCCCCTGGTTGTGGGATTGATTTCTCATGTCTAGAATGTTTGAAGCCTATTACAATATTTCTTGCTTCTTTCCATCCTCAGGAATGGCAGGTTGGGTGTTATTTAATGGTTTGTTGAGCTGGATTTTGAGATGAATTGGGCCTTCATCTGCTGAAAGTTTGCTATGGTGCTGTTTCTTTTGCACATTCTCTTCAACTGGAGATTGAAGGGTATTTTCAAATAACACTCATTTTCCATGCCATTGCCATGGGTCCTTGTGGAGTGGTTATGGATTCAGAAAACAAGAAAGGATTTTCATTCTAACTTTTACTAGAACAAAAATAACACCATGTGGGAAGCAAAAAAAAAGCAAATGGAGATTTATCTTTTTCTACTGTCAGCAACTTGATCATAATAATTTGCATATATATAAAAAACACCCAAAGAAACAATGGACACTTCATGGTCATAATTTTTTTTATACCGGGGATCATAGACATAATTTTTATTAACATGATATCCCTGAGAGGCAGATTAGATGTAAACATTAGTCTGCTTTACAGAAAGGAAAACAGGCAAGTTGACTTACACACAAGACATATGAAATCTGAATTCGTATCTGTTGATACTCATCCAATACTTTTTCCACAAGACTATACTCAGATATACTAGATAGTAATTTCATTTTTACTGACATTGCAACACACTTCCTAAACCATCTCAGATCCTCAGGCATTTCTTTAGACTGGCTTTTTTTTTTTTTTTTTTTTTTTTTTTTTTTTT